ATCAGAATAAATATGGTCGATATGGGGTAAGAGAGAGAGAGAGAGAGAATATTGTGATTACAAATCGGAAATTGCGTAATATGTAAAATAATTAGGTCAAATATAGTAGATTCAGGGGTGGATATTGAATAAATTCATCAAAAAGGGGTTATCAAGTGTAAAGACAATAATAATAATAATAATAATAATAATAATAATAATAATAATAATAATAATAATAGCAGTAATAATAATAATAACAGTAATAATAATAAGTTTGGGACATAAAATGAACATTAATCAGATTACATCACCATATTTTAAGATTGATTATTAGCTAGTTGGCCAGGGTAAAAGGAGTGGCTGAACATACTTCTTTTGGATACAAAGCTCTGGCTTTTTGATCCGAATAGCAATTGCTTCAGCCGTCTGTAGGATTCGCAGTCTGACGGAATTAGGTAGACTGCTGTTGACACGGTAAACTATTGCAAACGATTGCTCGATGTTGGCTGTATGTCCTGTTTGGACTAAATAGTCTAAGATGGAGCTGTTAACAGTTTTGACAACACCTTTGCTTAACCACACGGGTAGGTGCTCACGAGCCCGAATGTACAAATTCCTAGAACATCTGCCAATATAACTTGCTCCAGAGGAGCAGTTGAATTGATAGATACAGAAGGAGGTGGCTAGTCTAAGCAATTTATCTTTCAACCTCGGAGTGATTATTGGTCGTGTGGAAAATACTAGTTGTAGTTTAGCTGCGTTAAATGTCCTTTGAATTGATCTACTTAACTTGAGTCTTAACATTTCACTCGGCGCGTCACCTCTGAATTGTAAGAGTATATATAGAGGCTTTCTATTTACCGTTGGGTATTCTATACGCTGTCTTTTATTGGCTAAGTTTTTATTTATAAATTTCTCTGGATATCCGTTTTCTTTCAGGGTTGTAAACAATGTCTTAGTTTCATCTTCAATCGTATCCATAGTGCATATAGTCTTGATTCTATGATGTAGTGTCTTGATAAGGTTCCTTTTTTGTTGTAGAGGAACGAAACTGAAAAAGTTAGTATATTGACCCGTCCAGGTCATTTTCCTGTTTATGTTTCTTTTTAGCGATCCATCTTTTCTCCTTGTAAGCAGAACATCTAGGAAGGTTAATTTACCCCCATTTTCTTTCTCACATGTGAATTTTATGGACGAGTGAGCTCTATTGAATTGCTCGAGTGTTCTTATCAAGTCCGTATGCTCGTTACAAATGATAAATGTATCATCCATATATCGACAGTACAATGAAAATTTATCGATCTCTTGTGCCAGTGGGCCGTTTTCTAGTTTAGAAAGGAAAATGTCTGCCAATATGGGACCCAGGGGTGAACCCATCGGGACGCCATCTATTTGTCTGTAGATTTCCCCAGTGAATTTTATTCTACAGAACATAAGCTTTCGTTTGATGTATCATTTATTGTCATACCCTTTTTTGTTCTGAAGCTATTGTCATTTAAACATGATATTTTGCACCCTAATTTCTACTCTAATTTCCAACTTTGGACACGAATCGGAAATCAGGATATCAGGAATAGATCGAGTAGTGTTCCAGTTGTCTTGTCTTCTCTCATTTGCGTGCTTGTCAGCCAATCAAGTGATAGGACAGTTTTCTTCTCTCTAACTCAATTCGAACTCACGCGTACTAGTCTCAAGGCTAAGTCGGTCAGCCTATTGCGCCAAGGACTTAATCTAAATTAGATAAGCACCCTCAGCACCAAAGGACATAACAATTTCATTCATTCAGCGGTAAACAAGTCCATGAAGCATAATCCGCATGGACTAACACCTAATTTCATGTGGTTAACCTCACAAACCATTCATTGGAGGTAATTCTTGAAGTATTGGAACGAAGCCTGAAGAAATGGTTACTCCGAAAACTAATTTCTAGATTAATAATAATGCTATATGCATTCTTATTGTATAACTACTAAATATCTGAGTTATTATTTTTATATATATTCCGTTTATCCTAAGCCAATTGTTCTACCTATCAACTAGTATCACATTACTTATTATCCTTAATTTATTCCTAAGGGTTTGTGCAAAGCTTGTTCTAATCACAGACACTTTTGACTTATTTGTGTATAATTATGATATTTTATTTTATAATATATAAGATGTGGTATTTTTGTATACAATTTCATATATTCTTGAAATATGATATAATAGAAGTTGATTACTGACTTCTCTTTGAACTTAGAAAACATAGAAAGATAAGCTGTAGGCCCTATATATAAACACCTCAAGCAAAGTGAAGGCATACAATCACCTCTATCCATTGTTCCATTCGAGTAGTGGGGCTAGGCAGGGTTGCCCAATCTCACCATTCCTCTTCAACTTTGCCATCGATGACATTCTGGAAACAGCTCTGATGGATGTAAGTAATGGCGGTGTGGATCTGTTGCCCGGAGAAAGACTTCTCGACCTTGAGTATGTGGATGATATTGTCTTACTATGCGATAGTGCCCAAGGCATGCAATCCGCACTTAATCAGTTGGCAATCAATGTCCGTAAGCTTGATATGTGCTTTGCACCTTCGAAGTGTAAAGTACTTTTACAAGACTGGCAGGATTCTAATTCTGTACTCACTCTGGATGGTGAACAGATAGAAGTAGTCGAGAAGTTCGTGTATCTGGGTAGCTGTATGAGTGCTGGTGGGGGTGTGAGTAATGAGATCAATGCACGTATAGTGAAAGCCAGAGCGGCTTATGCCAATCTGGGTCATCTTTGGCGCCTTCGTGATGTTAGTCTGGCTGTAAAAGGTCGGATCTACAACGCGTCGGTGAGAGCAGTTTTGCTCTATGCTTGTGAAACCTGGCCTCTCCGAGTTGAGGACGTTAGACGACTCTGTGTTCGATCATCGTTGTCTCCGAAGGATTGCTGACATTCAGTGGCAACACCATGTTAGTAATGCAGAGGTTCGGCATCGTGTGTTCGGGCACAGAGACGATAATGCAATTGGTGTCACCATCTTGAAACACTGACTTCAGTGACTTGGACATGTTCTACGAATGTCATCCCAGTGAATTCCACGTCGTGCATTATTTGCCGACTCTGGGACTGGTTGGAAAAATCGGAGAGGTGGTCAGTATATGACATGGTGTCGTGGCATGAAAGAAAGCTGTAAAGGCTGGCTTGTGTTGGTCCTCCACGACTTCCTGGCCGGGGTCTGAGAGATAGTGCGACACAGTGACCAGAGACGTTATCAGATATGACTTAGAATAGAAGCCAGTGGCGATCCTACTGTAACTTTATTTTACTTTCTTCATAAAAAGTGGTTGTGTCTTCCTTAACTGAAAGATCTCTTCTGATTGTACGTATCTGTTCCCCCTATTATTATTATTATTATTACACCACCTTACACTAATCTGCTCGTTATTGTCTTTTTTTCTACGCTCCTTACCCTCTTTTTTTCTCTTCGAATTCTCATTGTTCTGTGTGGCGCATATATATTCTTCTTGTACCAATATTTATGTGTTCAAATAAAATAAAATAATGCAAGTAGTGGACAAATGGGAGTTAGTCAGTAACGGCTCAAGATTAACTGTTTAGGTCAAGAAATATAATTGATCGAGTCTAGGATATGAATATATGCATACGATTGTTTAGACTGACGTTTCCTCCGTACATTTACTTCCTCTCATTGTTTGTTTTGCTTTAACAATATCTACATTCACAAGTTCAAGTGATATTTATCCTCTTCAATTACTTATAAGTGACATCATTATCTTATCACCTTTAATTCAAACTTAGTTTTCATTTACAAAAACCTTCAGTTATCTACTTCCTGGTTTCCAGAAGTTGTCTACTACTTAATCTTGAATAGGTGGAAATCGTGGATCAATCTTTGCATCCTAACTGCGATTATCTACAGTAAACAAAGGTAGCCTTAGAAGTTATATAGGACCTTGAGTTTCTAGAAACTCCCGAGAGTACGATAAAATTGATGATAATGCAATCAGGATAAAGGAGGTATAAGCAATTCTTCACTTTATTATTTTTAGATAGTTTTCGAGAGCTCCTAATACTTGCTTGAATTTCCAGAGATAAATCTTATAATTAGTGGTTAGACAATCGACTCATTCATTAGACCATTTTATTGATTCGTATGAACTGTGTTTTACAAATCCTAGTCATTATACATGATAATCTAGACTAACTTGTTACCACAACAATCATTCTTATGGGTGCTGAAAATGTATTTAATTAACTAAGCTACTTACAAATGATAAGTAGCACAATTTGTAAGAAAGTAAATATAGTCTAGAAGTAATCATCTAGTTCATCTCTAGTCCATTCACATTCCTGTGATGAATCGTTAACACAAATACATTTATTTATTTAATCACATAAATAGTAGTACAAGTGGGCACCAAGTACATATGTCCACACAAGTCACTTGATTTGTGTGTGGGTTGTGGTACTGCTGGGTGCCTAGACCGAAACATGTGGTTTTCATAGGGGGCCAAACTCAGATCCTTCAACCTGAAGGTCTGATCCACAATGCAGCGGAGCAACGTTAGGAGATACAGTCTCATGGCAGATGATGACCAACAATAGGTTCATATGTCATTTCTTCCTTCAGGATCATGAAGCCATTGGTTTGAAATCAGGGTTTACCAACTTCCCTTGGTGGGTCCTTTGTATCCACCATCCGGGTTAAAGCGCCGGACATTCGCTTTTCGTCCTCTCAACTTCACAAACAATAGTAATGTCGCGAGAAAGAAGTGAGTAGGACTTCCATGGCAGTGGTTGTATGCACATGGCCATTTGAGAGCATTTCTCGAGAGAAAGGGAAAGAGAGAGGACTTTCTCTACTCTCGGACGTACTAGGGCATTTGGGGGTCATAACTACAGAATGAAATTTCTATCCTCTACTTTTGAAAATAAGAGAAAAACATTGTTTTTTATTACACTATAAAAATATTGATATAACCCCCCCCCACGAATGTTATACCCTAGAAACAATAAAGATTTTCAATGCTGAAAATGTATTTTCTTTGACAAGAAAAAATGCACGAATAGAAGATTATCTCTCTCATACACACAAGAAGCTTTGAAAATAGATCACTTGATTTCATTATCATTAAATCAAGTATTATTTTAATGCTCATGCACAAAAGAAGAAGATGAAGAAGACACATTGAAGTAACCTTCAGTGAAATGTCACAAACAATAAATAATGACAATAGATCATACATAATGTGATAGTTCTACTTGAATAAATAACACTTAATAAATAGTATTGAAAATAAATGAAATAAGATTAAACAAGATAATTAGTATCCAAATAGATTTTGTATAGTTTCCATTTCTCTTTAAGAATATTCAACTTGTGAATATCGACATACGAACCTTACTCCACTCTCACCCACCCCCACCCACACACACACACAAATAGAAAGAGAGGGAGAATAAAGAAATGATACTTAAATGAGACCATAGTGATTAGTTTATTTTAAACAGAACTTGTTGTTTCAGCGCATTTCATTTGTTTTCTATCTGCTTCAGCTTTTTCACATAAACGTACAAAATAAATAAGTACTGCAAGAAAACTTAATAAATAAATAAAATCAGCTGAAATTAATAAAAAAAAACTTGATAATGGTGGAGTAAGTAATAAGGCGAATTCACCAGATAAACCTAAACGATCATTGTCTGTACTACTACTAATACTACTGCCACTACTACCACTACCAACACCACCACTACTACTACTACTACTAAGACCATTGATAGCAGTATTATCTTCCAGATTGAAATTACCACCAGTACTATCTCTGTTAATCATTAATTGATTATTATTATTATTTTTATCTAAATAGAATTGATTTGTATATTCATCATTTGTTCCCATTAAACCATTTGAAAGAAGAACTTTTGTTAGAATCATATCACCATGATCATGAATATATTCAATTTCTGTTTCAGCTAAACTTAATCCAACCAATACACATGCAACTATAAGTTTGAAGGGGAAAAAAAGTAAAATAAAAGAAGATAGTATGAATTTGTTATACATTGAAAGTACATAGATATATCAAAGGAAATTGATTGATGGAAGTTAGACTTGTACACTAATTAGGCTTTTTGCTAAGCAATCGAGAGGTTAAATATTCGCACGTAAAAACAATGGTTCTAGGTTCAATCCCCTATGATGGAGTCGTTAGTGTACACTGCTGAAGAAGCCCATACTCCAATAATCCCATACATTGGTTTCCCAAATGCATAGAACTAATGTTTAACGCTGAAGCCTAGGATATTTACCGTTAAGCCAGAGTATATGCAGTCCAGCATGAAGCCAGGTGAATGCCAGGCAGCAAACCAGTGAATGGCAAGCCAAATCGGATCGCTTCAACAATGTAAAAAGTTTGAAATAGGAACAATAACGGCGTAGATTTGCATGCATTTAGCATACAATTCTCTTTGAACCTAGCATACAACAATAACATCATGCACTGTTCCATCGACTTTGGCAGACCAGGCAACCCGAAAGTTACGAGAACATCATCAGGGCATACGACAGGATAGGTACCCTACTGAGGAAACCCATACTAAGATAAAACATTCACCGAATGCTTTTAAATTTTCAGTGATAATCTAACTAAGATTATTTTGCGATCATAATAAAATTGATATCTGTTTAGAAAAGTTTAGAACAGTTGTTAATCTTAGAAATTCCAAAGGGCACGAAGCTGTTCATTGTAGTCAGTGGTATAAATAGTCAAAGAAATAAAAATGTGAACTATGATAGGTAATTTTCAAGGAATGGATCTGTATATATTCTATGAACATTCATTAAACAATTTGTATTGGGTATAAGGTAAAGTTGCGTTCGATGTATTAACTGTTACGGTGTCTTTTTGTGTTCAATAAATTACAATCAGTTAACTGTTAACATGTTATTCAACTCTATATCACATCTGTCTTATTTATGGTTCATACAATAGGTCACAATAATGTCGATGCATTCCCATAGATTTCGAGTTGCTGACGAAGATTGAATAAATGGAAACTCAAAAATATATTATGGACAAATCTTATTTACAGTAGGGGCTGGTACTAAGTCAAGCTCATACAGGTTATTCTAGCCTCTGAACACATCAATCTATTCATTCATCTCAAGCCATATTTTGACCTTATCACTTATTCGCTTAACAAGCGTATGTGTGCACATATTTTTATCTTACTCATCAGATGTCTGAGTACAAGTATCTATTCAAGCTTGGTGAAATCGAGTTGACACCCTTCTCTTTGCTTGGCAAGTTTTACTGCCACTCTTGGCCTGTTTATGTAAACTATGATTTTCTAGTTTATTGTGTGACACACACATATATATTTTAGTGACTATAAACCCATGTGTGTTCCGAATAATAATAATAATACAAGCTTAACTGTTGTCGTTTCTCATTCGGGCTCAAGGCTGGGGAATCGACAAACCAATAGCAGTTGAATGTACGTCAGCCTTAGCCAAGGATTAATCCTGACGTTTGGAATATCTCATAAGTCAAGATTTAGGACACTAGCATACAGAAGGAATAGTACACGTAAAGATAGAGAAATTATAGCCAGGAGTCTGACTAACAAATCTAACATCATCAAACATAACAGTTTCAATACTATTTCATATTATTTCCTTATTTGTACATTATATTCTTCAGGTTAACCTTTTACTATAATATATATTTAACTGTTATTCCAATGTTTTGCTATTGATATTCTCAATTTCATCTGACTATTTTAGTATACTGTGGCAACTTGGAAAGAGGTCAGATCGTACTAGGTTTTATGTTAATTAAATCTGATTGAGATCCCGCGATGTTTACAAGTGTATGGGCATATTAGAAGAGAGTTAAATGTGGCTAGAAACGATCAAATCGTGAGATTAGTTCATAAAGTCATTGACTCTTGGATTGAGCTGCATAGATAGATTCCGACTATTTATTAATACAAATATGATCTATCTGGTTCTCTGCGGCATAGTCCGGTGAGATCCATGTAACTTTGTGTATGTGTTTGTGTGGGAATATTGTGTCGCCTATAACCAATTTGTTGAATGCACATAGATTTGCAAATCTCCCCATTTTCGTTTCTCTCTCCCAGTCCGTGTCGTTCCATGATATCTTCATATCCGCTGTTGTTCATTCCTACTTTAGCGTTTAGATCTCCCATTAGGATGGTAAGGTTGTTTCCTAGTCACTTCTTTACGATCAACTGCGCCCTCTCATAAAACTGACCTATATCGTCTTTGTCGCTATCATTGGTGGGTGCATAGCACCGGATAATATACACTGTGATCCCCTCATTTCTTGCTTTTAAGGATGCTTTGGTGATTCTGATTCCATGAGATTCCCATCCAATAAGTGCTTTTCGTGCTTCTTTGGGCAGCATCAGAGCAACTCACTGAATGTGTGGGGAATTTTCTTCTTCGCAACCAGAGTACAGCATCAACGCTCCCAAATCTAACATTTTCTGTCCAGTTTGAATCTAATGGGTTTCTTTGATTAAATTGTTTATTCTGGTTAGCGTTTTCTAGCAAGGTTGTTTTATACGGGATGGAGTTGCCGACCCCAATCCCAACCCTCCTCCTTTATCCGAGCTTGGAATAGGCAGCAACCCTAGAGGAGCTACTTGCCGGATACTATAATTGACAACATACTATGGGAGAGAACAAACCAACTTCCAGCTCAAAAGAAAATTAGGAAAAGACACTTCAGGTGAATAAGACATATATTACGGAAATCATCAAAATGCATCACGAGGTAAGCCCTGACTTGGAATCCTGATTCAATAAAATTTTGCTTTTTGAAAAGTCTATAAAATAATTTATATCTATGACTAGTCTATTAGCCTCTCACTTACTATGTGGTGCGTGCTACTTATATTGATATAAGTAGTATATGACGCGAGTCAGGTATGTAATGTCTGGCAGCAGAAGATGGGGAGGATCAAGAAAGGAAGAGCGGGAATAGAAAGCAATTAGCACAGAAATGCAAGAGCAACGAAGTTCAAGACAATTAATGAACATTTTGCAGATTATGTAATGTCGAAGCATACGCACAGTATGCACATATGCCAATAACAGACTGACCAATTGCAGTCTTAAACCTCAATGGGAAGATACAAGCCAAACAATACTAAGTGAATTCAAATTCACCCCATTGCACAAGCAAGTGGCTATCAGGACTCAGTAGCTGAGTGGATAACGTGATGGCGTTTGAAGCGAATGGTACTGGATTCGAGTCCCAGAGTGAACATCAACTCTGAGATGCAGGTACATTCAGCTGACGAGTCCCAAATAGAACGAAACGCGCGTCAAACTGGATTCCACTGCTAGCCACTATCCATCATTGTTTACGAAACAAAAGCTTGTGAATTAAGGCAATATCAAGGTAATACTCACAGGATACACATATGTCAACACGAGACTGATCAATTGCAGTCTTAAACCTCAATGGGAAGATACAAGCCAAACAATAGCAAGTGAATTAGGTACTACAGCATTGTTTTTCTATTTTAACAAGTAACTCTGTAATTTTGTGCTAAATATAATTCGGTTGTCCTCACCTATGTTCTTTTTCACTAAAACTATACCGTTCAAAATCACAATTTTACACTAATAAACACCAATAACCAAAAAAATAAATCAATAAAATACTCTTCTTACCAGCTATCAGAAGAAATACAACTTCAGCTAGTACATTTAACCATTTACGATTTGTTTGAAAATATGCTAGAATTATATGAATTATGAAAGATGTAATTGCTGTCAATAAACCTATTAAACTCATTATTCTAGCCAATGTCCAACGAAGATCTAAAATTAAATGAAAAGATATAAGAAAACAAAAAGTACAATTATGTACCAGTCCAATCCAGTATATATGCACACACACACATATATACACACCTAAGAATAGCACAGAAATATGAAGTTGATTAGTTTTATGATCAATCAAAAGGTTGTCATAAGCTAAATTAGCATCAAAAGTTGAAAGTTAACATTATGTTTAAAATTGTTCTGGAATTGTAAGTCTAGAAAACAATGTAAAGTGTATACATCTGAGATATGTTACCCAATGCCTTCAATCACTGATTATGTTTATTGCACAAATTTCATTCGAGTAGGTTACACCGAAAAAGATGACTTAAACGAAAAATCCATGATTTTATGAAATGAACAGAAGCACAAATTTGTCATACATAGCGAGACCAACAAAATCTAAGAATTTGATAAGGAATAAGTTAATCAGTTAATCATCAACATATATAAAAACTTGACATGAAGCTGCTCGGTGCAAGTTGCTGCACTAAATATCTAGGTAAACATACACATAAATTTATTCAATATATTATAATTATAATGTACAGCTCTTGTGTTAAAAATAGACAACATAGAAAATCAACTTATCATGAAGACATAGATTCATTTCATTAATTAAGAATAGTGTAAATCTAATTCGGTATCTTTAACAATTAATAACTCATTTACCAGGTGTATAGGTTTGTTTACTTGGCTTCGGGTCACACTGTTTATGTCGAGGCTAATAATATTATCCATTTATTCGACCCGAATTATGTGAAGGGTGGAATTTGGACCTGGAACTTAGTAACTGAAAGTTGAACACTTTACCAACTGAGTTACTGCTACACAACAAATCAGGAACGCCAGTCAATCTCGTGTGTTGTTACAGGCATGAGTGCTGATGTCACTTCCCGGCTACCCACACCATGGAAGGGTATTTCTTGAAGAACCTGGAAAGTTGGATTAGTTTTGGTTTTAAAGACCTGGGAGCGTGACCGCGCATGACCTTTTTGTGCAGAGTTTTTAACGTGTTAGCTCTGTTCTTCAAAAGGCCTTACCGCCGGAGACGGAAATCTGTGAAGTAAGGTGCAGGTGTGACATTTTTAGGGTCGACCTTTTCTAACCCCACCTCTCCTTGTGAGAAGGCAGCATCGATGCAAATGCTGGTTGTCCGAGTGAAACACCATACTGCTGTCACACCCTCTATTCAAAGCGTAGTGATGATACAAGGAAGAATGAATGACTTAGTAAAACAAAACATGAATTATAAATATATTCAAATTGACAGCCTTTGAATCGCTGATAAATTTTAAACATGATTTTCACCATTGTATACTAACTGTTTCTGAAATTCCTATACAAAAACACATAGAATATAATTAAATAGGTAGTTTGATGAAATATTTTTCTCATTTCATGTTGAAGTAAATATTTACTGCCATTTACAATGGAGAAACTCCATGTACTTGAAAATGATACAAAGTTGATAAGCTACATATTTTATTCCTCATAGATTGATCTCAATGGGGGGGGAAACAATTTAAAAAGTTGGATAACTGAACATATATTTCATCTCGATAAGAAACTGCTTAGACCTAAACGTCTTGAGTTCTATCCTTGAAGGATTCGTGAGTGTTTACTGTTGAGGAGTTTCGTATTAAGATGAAACAGCTGTCCATTGGTCCCTAATATTCACTAGTAACCCCATTGAGATCAACCTGTGATTCTAATACAACTTATAAATTAAAACATTCTCTATATAAAACCTTTTAACTAGATAGTTAATATCAACAGTTGAGATCATGAGTCAATTGAAGCTAGATCACCATGGAAAACCTGGGAGCACTGGACGGCCGTTTCGTTCTATTGTGGGACTCCTCAGTAGTGAGCATCCATGATCCCGTTTCGCGAGATTCCAACCCAGGACCTATCAATCTCGCGTGAGAGTGCTTAACCTCTAGACCACTGAGCTGGTCGGCATCTAACAGTGTTAATGTCTAACTCCAACTAATCCACGAAATTGAACGACACATTCACCATTGTCATCAGTGAGTTACTACCTCACAACTGACCCGGTTGATTTCTACTGGTCACTGCTTCTCACTAAAACTCCAGGATATATCTCTTGAAGCCAGTCACTAGGGAGCATATGTTAATTAGTATCAGAAGGGGTTTTATGGAGATTGTAGGGACCGTGGATGCGCACTACTGAGGAGTCCCACAATAGAACGAAACGGCCGTGCTTCCAGGTTTTCCATGGTGGTCTAGCCTCAATTGACTCATGATCTCAACTGTTGAAATTACTACAATCTCCACAAAACCCCTTCAGATAGTTAATACTTTCTAATGTTTACAGAACTAGTTCATATTAATTACATTAAGTAGAGATTAAAAATAGTCAACAAACAAATAATGGCAATAAACTGATTGATTAATTTATGGTAATCCATACCTCTAATAAACAACAATGTTATAGTTAAACATTCTATTTAACATTCTTTATTTAACGAGAAAAATAACTGAATTTAAAATTAGTCAATGATTGCAAGCCAGGAACCAATGAACATTTGACTCATTTTAACACAATACGTTTTAGAAGTTAATATCTACAACCTTGTCAAGGAGCAAATCTAAAACTTTAGGGCTTGGTGGTGAGAGCATAGCCTTCATACCACTGAGTTGGTACACCAAAACGTTCACACTTATAACTTTGGTAATATTGAGAATGGACTGATCTTAATTAGACCCAACCGTAGCTGCTAAAATGACGCACATGATGATCTAATTGAGTTATGTTAGTTGGAATACTTGTTTGCTTAGGTTTACCCATACCAATTAGGTCTACTAGATAGCAGTAGAGTGAAAAGCACCAAAAATAAGGTTTGAGGACAAATTCGTACTGTTGACTGTACTGGGATTTGATTACAGTAGTTCGTCTCGTTCTAGCAGCTGCAGAAATACGACATCTCTACAACAGAGGAAAGGGTAAGAAATGTCATCTCCTGAAAATATCACACTTCAACCTACAACATATATATTGCTGTCACCGATAGTAAGGCCTCTAAAGTACAGAGATACAAAGATAAGAACTGTTTGCAAAAGAATTGTGAGTGATCTGTCATTTTTTCGTGGTATGTAACTTCTCAAAAGTGCTTGTTCACGAACCCGGATTCAAGAGTCGAACCCGCAAACTTCAATCTCATTCACAAACGCCCAACATTACTAGTTTAATGATAATTTGACTCAAACTTTAAGAAGAATATAACAACAATGTTTTCACCAAACGAAATCAAAACAAAAGAATAATATCATTGAAGTCTAAAAGGTAATTAATTATTTTGATTGAGATCATGAACCGATTGATGTTAGGCCACCATTGAAAACCTGGAAGCACTTGATGACCGTTTCATCCTATTGTGGGGCTCCTCATCAGTGAGTATCCACGATCCCGCTCGAACCCATGACCTTCAGTCTCACGCGCGAACGCTTAACCTACTAACTATACACAACCTTCTATCCTAGTTTAACTTTATGAATCATTCATCTATTTTTTTAAAAACATTCAATTTATCAAATGTAGATTATGGCCATAGGATCCACTTTTGTACCGAAAAAAAGGGACTGGAAATAAATATGTTTTAACAAAAGGAGATTTTTCGAAGATTCAGTCAGTCAGCTACAACGTAGGACTAGGCACATATGTGCATCAATCCAAGTTACCATACCTCATTAACACAACAAGATGAACACCAAATTCATAGAAGTAGTAATTCAATGCTAGTAATATATGTAAGAAAGATTGCGTATAATAAAGGAAGAAAGAATTAGAAAGATTAGTTTAATACATAAATAGTTTCCGTAAACAATTAACCTTAATTTCAAGGAATGTTAAAAGTTAACCAGTTACGTGTTTGCAGTTGCTTTCTATCAATGATTGATTCTATTATTTATTATACCTAGATAACGTGATTACAAAAAGTAACTAATTAAAATCTTGTGGGGAGGAGGATGGTATAATGATATTGATCTCTATTTATCATGAATGTAATAAGAGGAAAACATCCTTTTTCAGAGTTTAATAAAGATGAAGATGTACTACAAATTCATCGACACGTATCTTTATCCTTCAATGTGGTGTTTTTGAATTTACTAAATACACACAACAACTTTACCTGAAGCCCCTCTGGGGCTACTGCCAGTCCTAAGCCCGGATAAAGCAGGAGGGTTGGGCATGGGGGTTAGCGGCCTCATCCCATAGAAAACTAACTCGCCAGAAGAAGAAAAAACGCTAACCAGAAGTACACACAACACATGAATGTATGTAAGGTAAACAAAACCTTCAATGTTTATTCAATATTGTTATTATTATTATTATTATTTGTGTACTAGATAACTGACATAAACAGTTATTTTCAATACCATACATACATACAGACCTGATATTACTGTCCTCTGTTTATACGATCTAATATTTTGATTCAATATCCATTTAATACACATTTCAATAGAAATCAATCATTGTTAATTTTTTCAAATCACCTTTGAAAATATAAATTAAGGAACAAATTACCTGTTTATGTTCATAAATTATTGATTTTAATTAAAATCATTAGTCGATCACTATCACAGTTCCCATTGTATGGTTCGTATATACGATTCATAATAATGTTTAGTTAAAAGAATCAATTCATATTGTTTCTGAATATCGGTATATTAACACTGTTGGATGCCAGCCGACTCAGTGGACTAGAGGTTAAGAGTTCGCGCGCGAGACTGATAAGTCCTGTGTTCGAATCGTGCGGGGTGGGATCATGGATGCTCACTGCTGAGGAGTCCCACAATGGGACAAAATGGCCGTCCAATGCTCCCATGTTTTCCATGTTGGTCTAGCTTCAACTGACTCATGAATTCAACTATAAAATTATTAAAATCTCTTAACCTCTAGTCCACTGAGCCGGCTGGCATTCAACGGTGTTAATATCTAACTTCAACCAATCCACGAAATTGAGCCA